AACACGTCACCATTTTTCTCAGTAAATATATTACTAGAGGTACTAATGACATGAAATTTTCACCAGATGTCGGTAACAACCCAAGTGATCCATACATACAAAGAAATCAAACCATAAATGTCCAGAAATGAAGTTATTTGTAATAATGTGGAATGGCACAGGGAAAAAGTATTGAACACACTTACTGAAATTTATCTAATACTTTGTACAAAAGCCTTTGTTGTCAATGACAGCTTCAAGACGCCTCCTGTATGGAGAAACTAGTGGCATGCATTGCTCAGGTGTGATTTTGGCCCATTCTTCCACAAACAGTCTTCAAATCTTGAAGGTTTCGTGGACCTCTTCTATGAACTCTGATCTTTAGTTCTTTCCATAGATTTTCTGTTGGATTCAGGTCAGGTGATTGGCTGGGCCATTCCAGCAGCTTTAGTTTCTTTCTCTGAAACCAACTGAGAGTTTCCTTGGCTTTGTGTTTGGGCTCATTGTCTTGCTGAAATGTCCAGCCACGTTTCATCTTCATCATCCTGGTAGATGGAAGCAGATTTTTATCAAGAATGTCTCTGTACATTTTTCCACTCATCCTTCCTTCAATTATATGAAGTTTGCCAGTACCATATGCTGAAAAACAGCCCCACACCATGATGTTCCCACCTCCCAAGCTGATATTAACTTGCACTGACAAGGGGCAGGCTTGCTTTCTAATTACTGAGAGAGTTCAGCTGGTGTCTTGGCTTTCCATGCCTTTTTACACCTCCCTTTCTTCATGTGTTCAATACTTTTTCCCTGTGCCATTCCACATTATTACAAATAACTTCATTTCTGGACATTTATGGTTTGATTTCTTTGTATGTATGGATCACTTGGGTTGTTACCGACAAGTGGTGAAAATTTCATGTCATTAGCACCTCTAGTAATACATTTACTGAGAAAAATGGTGACGTGTTCATTACTTATTTTACCCGCTGTATTATTTCAGGAAAACTGAATAATGAAGGAAATTAAAACAATGTTTTTTTTAAACTGGAAAATAGTCAATGATGTTTTCGTTAAGTAAAATGGTAAATGGACTGAACTTATAAAGCGCTTTATCAAGTCCCATCAAAGCACTTCACACTACAGACATTCACCCATTCACACACTGATGATGGTAAGCTACATTGTAGCCACAGCTGCCCTGGGGCACACTGACAGAGGTGAGGCTGCCTTGCACCGGTGCCACCGGACCCTCAGTAGGCAAGGTGTTTGAAGTGTCTTGCCCAAGGACAAAATGACTGAGCCAGCTGAACCGGCAACTCTCTGGTTACTGGACGACTCCCCTAACCACTCGACCACAGCCTCCCAAGTGATTAAAGATGAAGGACTGAATTGTTCAATATTAGGCAGATAAATTAAACAGTTGTTTTCACTGATCATTCAAATCAAAACAAATGAACATTTATTGTTAGTGTACAAAGAATTACTATTTAACTATAATGTCATAGTGAAAAATAAACATAAATGTAATATGGGTGTATATAAATACATAAATAAGAGCTACATAACAGATGTTTGTGTTATAACTAAGTGCAACTTAAAAATACTTCTGCACTACTTATCTTTAACCTCATCTCTATTTTCCAAACATTTTATTCTTTTACTTTCATTTTTGTGTTTATGTTGAATTTAACTTTTTATATTTTCCTGCTTATCCTCATTTGAACCATTTAACTGCTCAGTGTTTACACACTCAACTGTAACATAGACAGTTTTACATGGAGACAAAGACTTTTTGATTCTGTAACAACTCAAAATACATCAGCGTTTACTTGTACCACTTTCCTAAAATAAAAAAAAAAACATTTGAAATTTTATCTTTGTTACTATAATGACTATAATGTTCCTGTTCAAAAGTTTCCTTATCAACTAAAATAATGTAGGAATACATAAAGAATTTAATGATGTTCCAAACTTCCTCTCTGTTCTCTGAAAAATGTTTTGTTTTAAACCAAAAAGTCCCCAATTCAGTTTTCCAAACATTCACTTCAAAATCTTTGTTCAGGTTTCAATCCTTACAATTTATTTAAACCTTCTCAGAGAATTAAAGAAAAACTTCTTTTATCGTTTCTCACACATTTTATTTTGCAACTGACAACATCGTTCACCATGTCTGACCTCCAACTTATTACATTTTTTATGTTTTGTTTAATTATTTTTTAGAAAATAAAAGATTCAATTCACAAAAACACACAAAATCTGAAAGGTATGAAAATGACAGAGAAACACCACAAAGTAAGAAACACCTGCTTTCCTTTATCAACACACGTTCTCCTTTTGTGGCTCCGCGGCTCGTCAAGCTGGAACCTCTGTAAAGCTGGAGGTGAAAAACGTTTTCGTCAGCAGTTCAGCTCCGATTTCGCTTGACAGAACTGAGACTTCAGTCGTCCGTCCTGTTGTGAGACATCGGGTCCAAAGCTGTCCCTGAGAGTTCGATGCTCTGTGGTCCAAAGACTGAACCTGAAACGGACCGTGAGCTGCAGACTTCACGAGTCGTCATAAATAAACTAGATCTCTCTTCAAATACAACATTTTTATTACAAACGTGTCATTAAACACTGGTGAACAAACACGCCACAGAAACTGGATTTGCCAGACAGCAGTTTGTGAAAGAAACATCGTATAGGCACACTGATTGAACGTATATCTCAGATATTTTACTAACATTCTGTTCATTTATTTTTTATACCTCATCCTAAGGCAGGACATGTAGTATGTCCACTGACAATTTATTGTCTGAGCTCTTAAATCCAAAACTCTTCAACATGGAAATGTCAAAACTGCACAGATAGACACGTGAAGGATGTTTCTTATTCATTTCAAGGTTTGGGGTCAATGGTCAAGTCACAGGTGACCCCGCCCCCTTTGTTAAAAGCTTGTCTCTGCTGCAGCTTGACATCGCAGTAAAATACAAACGTCAAACCCTTTGTTCCTTAGTTTGTCCCTATCTGTCCATCCATGAGACAGGAGACAATAAACTGTCCGTGGTGTTACTCCACAAATGTTTCGGAAAGAAAATGTCATCAGACTGTAGCTCCACACCGCACATCACTTCGTATTTTTAATTTAAACCACTTCCTCCAACAAGTTATGAGGGTAAGGCTGGTAACTGATAGCTGCACTTTCATGTTCTTTAATCGAACTGTTTGTCAATTTAAACCAGTAAAATTGACCTTTCAGGCCACTGTTGTAATTGCTCTGGGAACTTTCTAACATTTTATACAAACTTTTACCAGTGCTTCAGAACTTCCTTGTGATTTTTGCACAATATAATATAATTTGGGTGAAAAGGATGTACAAAACTTTAATGAACCCCTCAAAAAACTTGGTGTTATTTAGGAAAGGTAGAAAACCACATTAAGCTTTTAATTTTATTTTTTTCAGCTCAACACTGGCAAACCCCAAAGGATGTTGACATGAATGTTAGACAAACTTCTGAAAATAATGAGACTTAAAAGGGGTTTAGAGTTCTATTATTGACCCTCACACCCTGCTTTAAGCATTTACCCAAACTCCTTAAGTTTCTGGTTCCCAACATATTTTCCTCAAAGCCCTGCTTTCTTACATCCAAGTAAATCTGATATGTAAAAAAATCATTATTGATTGGCATCTGCAGCTACTATTAGATCAGAACTGAAGTACTCGTATCTGTTTTGGATCAGGACTTTATCCAATATTCAGAGCACTGCTTACAAACCACAGATCCATGAAGCTCAGTATTACATTACTTCCAGCAGATCCTGTTTGAACCTGAAGAAAACCCACCATCAAACTGCACATAAAACTACACAAAATAATGTATTCCATTGTTTAGTGATCATATTAAAAGGCTCCTGTGGAAAAGTGAAGAATTGACATCTTACCTGTTATAGATGACTTTTTGAAGAAAAATGGATGAAGTGAATCCATTAACTTGAATTATCCAAACACTAGGCCAATATGTCAATTTACAATATTGTCTCTTTGGAGCAGAATTAAAAACTGTACTGGGCTCGGACTTTGGGACTTCTGGGTTTTCTCTCATCTCAGTTGTTCTGACTGGATTGCGGCTCACCCTGGATTTACACTACATGCGTCTCCGCTCCGCTGCGCTGCAGTGCGCAGGTCGCAGCTGTTCATTTGTGTCTCAATTTACACAGCGTCCGCTCCGCTCCGGTCCGACAGAGAGTGTGAAGGAAGGAGATTGTGCGATAAATTCAGTGATAAATGTGGAAGTCACAGCAAAAAATAATTAATTCTGTGAAAGAAAAACTCCAAACACAGCTGAAAACATTGATATAAAGGCTTTTGATATCTACTGTATGTTGAAACTGTCTTGCTGTCGTCTTTCTGAAACTTCTGATTTCAAAATAAAATCCACCTGTATCGTATATGTGTACACATATGCTTCATGCTACATGTTTCCATTTGCTTCCCAAACAGAATGACACATTCTAACAGCATTTGTGTAGAAATGTATCCATATAAAAAAAAAGAAATGTATCCAAATATAGATTAATATAGCTGCAATTTCAACATTATTCCGACAAATTATCCCACCTAATAGTGTCTTATTTTGAAAATACAGATGTTGTGCTTGTTTCTTTTCCTGTTGGTGCGACGTAATCTTTAAAAATTGACTCCGGCACTGCTCCGGCGTCCGGCAAAAATAGGATCGGATCTAATTTTGCCGGATCGCCGTCCGCTCACCGCCGCCATGCAGAGCCAATGTAAACACTCTCATTGATTATAATGGGTGCGTATTTGCTGCGGAATCGGACCGGAGAGGAGCAGAGCCGGAACACATGTAGTGTAAATTAGGGGTAAGTCTGAGAAGGAACCAGACCACAACAATGTGCTGTCGTCTTAAAACAACTCCAGCCTCAAAAGCTTCATAGTAGTCAAAACAAATAATGGTAAATGGACTGTACTTATATATCGCCTTTCTATCCAACCAGGACACTCAAAGCACTTTACACAACAATCTGTGCCCTCATTTACCCATTCACACATTCAATCAGCACTCTACTACATCTCTCTACAAAGCTAATACAGATAAATCAATCTACAGAGACCAATCAGTGCTTTAAATCACACTCATACACTGATGGGACACACATCAGAAGCAGTGGGGGTTCAGTGTCTTGCCCAAGGACACTTCAACATGTGAGTGAATAGTGGTGGAATCGAACCGCCATCTCTCACATTGGAGGAACACCCCCACCTAACCACTCATTCACAATTATTTACAACCCTACACATCACTGTCAATTGTTCTTTACATCAGGGCTGTTATGTAAAATTACAAGTATTGTTATTATCTTTTAACTTTTAAATTTGGTTATTATGTTGTACCGAGTCATAAATGTAAAATTTGAAATTGATTCACTATCTACATTCATAATAAATTGAATAAAAAAGTAAAAAAATCATACTTTTTTTATCATTGATGGGTTGGACTAAACTCAGCTGTGGGCCGGATTTGAATAGCCCATTGTATGATTATTTACATAGTTGTTTGTTGTGGTTAATTATAGTTATTTGCCAGCACTAATAGTAGACACTGCTTCTATGTTGGACACCTCTCTCCTGTTGTCACCCCACCCCCATCAGTCAGGAATAAATTTTATTTCTCTAATCTGAGGTCGTTTAAAGAGACATCTGCAGCAGGTAGGATATTAATTGTTTAGAACTTTTCAACAAAGTTGAATTGGCAACATGATGCTGTGTTAGAACTGTTCGTAGAACCACATAACCTGATTTTTTTTGGTTCTTTTTCTTCTGAGGCTCCTGCGTGCACAAGCTGGAGAACGCACCATCACAAACGACACACGGTTCAAGCAGCCAAAACATTTACACACGCGCCGTATTTACGAAGAGCAGTCCCTCCCTCCCATTAGACGACCGTAATGCGGGAGCTGGGCTCGTTCGCCGTGCTGGAAGCCTCCGTCTTGGCCTTGGACGTGTGCTGCATGCTGTGCTGCGAGCTGGTCAGCGCGTTCTGCCGACACAGGCGCTCGCGGTAATTCTGAGCGAAGATGAGCAGCATGAGCGGGTTGATGCAGCTGTGGGAGTAGCTGAGGCAGATGCTGATGTTGTAGGCGTAGACGAAGGCGATGGTGGGCCGGTTGTTGCTCAGGTTGATCACCTGGATGACGTGGTATGGCGACCAGCAGATGAGGAAAAGGGCGATGACCATCAGCACCATCTTGGTGGCCCGCTTCGCCCACACCGACTGCTTCCGTTTCACCCGGCGGATGGAGCGGAAGACGTGATAGAGCGTGAGCGAGTAGAAGGTGCTGATGATGAAGAGGGGGATGATGAAGCCCAGGATGGACTGGTAGAGGGTGTACCAGTACATGTCCTCGGGCCCGTCCAGGAGCATCATGCAGACCTGCAGCTGCTGCCTGTGAACCACCTTGGCGTACATCATGACTGGCACGGTGAGGAGAAAGCTGCCCAGCCACACCAGCATGTTGATGAGGATGGTCCACTGCACCGTCCTCTTCTCCGAGCTGGGGTGCACTATGGCTATGTACCTGAGAAGAACAAACACACCTTTTAAAAAATGTATAGCAACCTACACACAAATGATGAAAAAAAATTGTTAAACTTGAGAAAAATCCAATTAAGATAAATAATATAAAATCACAGAGTGCTTGGCTAAAGAGTTGAATTAGAAATTAGCTCCATTTAAACAGAAATCAGGTTCACATTTTCATTCTAACAGAGCAATAAAGTGTTATTTAAAAACATACTGTCATTTAGTTGAAGTAATCTATTATAATATAAATTTATTGACATGGAATATATTTTTAAAAGGCCTCAGTTTGGAAAATGAAAAGTTAAATTTGGGCCAAATGGATGAGTTAAAGTGACAATATCATCTAAAATCAACTTTTTTGAGTTTTATATCATGTTATAATGTTATACTCTCATAAAAAAACATGCCCAAAGCCTTGCTTTGACTCATTCATGCATGTTTGAGAAATCCTGCAGCATTTTTAGGAAGCCATGCTGAGGAGCAAAACGACAGGTGGGGACCAGGAACGCCTTTGGGGACCAGAAACTCCTCTGGGATGTGTCTTTAAAGGCACAGTGTGTAGGATTTGTTGTTTTCAGCGACATCTAGTGGTTGAATCATCTTCCCTGGTCCTCCCCCCACCCCCACCCCCCGCTTCCAAATGCAAAGGAGTTGCTACGGTGTCTCTCAGGTGTCAAAAACCTTTGATAATTCCAACCGCGATGTCTACCAGCAGCTTCAGGTCTAGTGATGTTTCAAGTGGTAAGATTATGAGCTTTAATAAGTAAAATTATCCCAGCTACAATGACAGACAACAAATATTACATTTATAGTATTACAACTAAAACCGTTTTTGATGCCGCCACCGCAGTTTGTCCTTCATGAGCCTTCGTAGACAAGATGGCGGCTGCCTGTAGTGGCGACCTGCAACCATGGAGATATAAACAGCTTTTTATAAGGTAAAATAATAAAATAAGGTCTTTGTCTGCAATGATTAGACATGTTTTTTGTTATTGTCATTAGTGATTATCTCAATTTCGGCTAAAAGACTTGACAAAATCCTTCACACTGTGCCTTAAAGCCGAGGTTCCTCATCACGGTGCACACCTCCCCACCCCACACACCCCGCCCATGACTCCTGCAGGCTCTCGGCAGTAACAAAGCAAATGAGTGAAACTGAAAGTGAAACTTAAACTGTCTGCTGAGCTCTTCTCACTCAGTGAAGCTCTTTTCAGATTCAAAATACCTTTGAGGAAATGTATTTTCAGATGCCAAGTAAACTGCATCACAGCGCGCGCACCACCCCCCACCCACCCCCACACTGAAATGGGCGTGTCAGAAGCGGAAGATGGTTCTTAAAGAGACAGAGACCAATTTCAAGGTGTTTAGAAGAGGAAGTGATGAGAAGATAAGTTTATTTTCTATTTAAACATAAAAACATCATTTTAATAACAGCTAAATGTGACATAGATACTTTGTTATGGTATAGTATTTAAATGTATGCCTGAGAAACACATAATATTGCCCCTTTAATGCAGTAGGGTGTATGGGGTTGGGGTTGTTTTTCTTTCTCTAAATGGGGCAGGGGGGTTGACAGAAAAGTTTGAGGACCACTGGATGAAGGGCTAGTCCAAATGCCAACCAAACAATACTTAGCAGAGAAAGGAAATACATTTGTGGGTCAATAGCAACAGCAGAATAAGCTGTTTGGCAGAGATTTGGCAAATTTTTCATGAGTGCAACCCACACACTCAGCTCTGCTGCTCATCCCACAAATGCATGTACCTTACAAATTTGGCACTATTTAAAAGGGAAATTAACAGGCTTTCCACTGGTATAAGATGTGTTGCCAGTAAACATTGTTACAACAAAGAAATAATCTACCAAACACAAATTTCCTTACTTGTTAAGACAATTTTAGTCTCAAAATGTTCACAGTAGTTTATCTAAATGCTCCATGTACTCCAGATATTTCATATTAAATGTTATTTTTCAAGCTAATATAATATGCTTGCTGGAAGTTTGCACCAGAAGTGCTACAGCTAGCTGCTGCTACTGTTTTTGATATAGAATTACTGGGAATCAAAACTGACAGCAATGTAAACAAGTTCATAAAAGAGCATTTGTTTGAACTGCTTTTCTGAGCTGTGAGCTTGCCAGTCTGATCTGAGGCTGTTCAAGCAGCTATCCACTGCAGGTAAGATATTGATTTTCAAGACTATTTCATAGAACCACATTGAAAAAAGAAACTAGTCCTTTAAGTCAAGGAGGTCAAAATTCAAACTTGATCTAAGAAGAAATGTTTTTTTTCTTATCAAATTACTGTATATTTTGTGTAGCATTTAAAACATACATAACTTAAAAAATATACAAAAAACTATTAAATGTAGAAATACACATTTGTATGTATTTCTTAGTCCTTACACTCTACTCACAACTATTTCATTGACTATTTACCCAATAATTTACCCAAAATTGAATATTTACCCAATTTCCCTCTGGGATCAATAAAGTATTTTTGAATTGAATTGAATTTATTAGAGATACGCTTTCTCACAATCCAGCAAATTGATACAAAAAAGAAAACTCACAAAAAAATCAATTTATTTGTCTTTAAAAAATAGAAGAACATACATAATTAAAGTCGACTTCTGTCAAAAATAGACAGCACTTAGCACTGTGACAAAAAAAGAAACAAAATATTTTACATATAAAATATCACGTTTGTGTACAGATGAAATGTTAACAAGGGCCAAATTTGGCCCACAGGCCTTGAGTTTGACACATGTTTTAAGCACTACAAATAGCATATCTTCAGTGAGCTCTAACATCAATATAATTGTGATTTTTCCCAGGACGTTTAGCAAAGTTTCCATTTTTTTCTCATCCTCAAGAATCACGATGACGTCACAAATAAAACTTCCTGTGACTCTAATGAACAAATTGAATGTGGAGAAATAGTTGAGCAAAATTGAATAATAATATTATTCTGAGGGAAAACTGACTCCTCTGCTTTACGAAACAGCAGCAACAATTATCAGCCTAATACATTTAGATGTGTTCTTTAAGATGTAACAACAACTTTGTTAGAGTTAACATGAAGTAAACATTCTTCTCTCTGGAGTAGGGAATCTGTTTCTATCCACAAAAACCCCATGAAAAGATATTTCACAGCACTCAGATACGTTTTGGATTTTTAAAAATTTGCTTGTCTTGAAGACAACAAGGTCATTGTGATCAGGATCCGCAGAATACAAACTGAACTGCTAAATTAAAACAAATCTGCTAAAAAAAAAGGACAGTTTACAGACCATCACCAGTTTATTTCATATAATTAATTAGTGGAAAAATGCTTTAAAACTGTGACTTCACGCTGTGCTTCTCAACACAGATAAAAAAAGCTTTGTCTTTAGCTTGTGGTAAACTACAAACCTAACAAATTTCTGTTTTGCTTTCATTTAGATGACAAATTGCGCTAAATTCCAAGCAAAGCTATCAAAACCCTTTTCATGTGTCCAGTCTTTCCAGTTGATGATGGACATTCTCGACTTTCATGCTGCTGATTTTCTCCTTTAGTAAAACCATCAGCTTGTTTGGATGTAGTTGTATCAAAGACTCATTTGATCTGAGCTTGAAACCAATAAAGTGACTCCAAATGACAGAGGTGGGCTTTTTATTAATCAGATCCTCCTTAGTGACTAAAATGAAAGTGAAAAAGTCCACAGCGGTGAATGTAATCAAGCCTGCAGAGACAGTTTTTTTTTCTGAGCAGGTAGCAGCGTTCATCAGTACGTTGTTGGCTGCTCATCTGAAATGAACATGCTTAGCAGTTCAAACATGTATTTGTCCCAAACATTTTCAGATTTTAAACATGTCACCCTGATCATTCCTGTGGGGAACATGGTGTGGTTCTGGGTGGAACAACAGATGACAAGATTTTTTTTTGTATGACTTTAAAGAGGTGACATATTACATCCAGAGCAGACTATAGGCTTAAACCAGGCATGCCCAAATAATTTCCCAAACATTTCATAAATTGACAAAATATGAGCATTTGTCTTATAAAATGTGCAAACCTACATGTGTGCCTTTTCAGACATGTCATTGGGATGCATTATTTATGTGTTTCATGTGTGTATGAATATAGGTATATACAGATAAGTGTGCACACATTGGTTTGTGTGTTTTGCTAGCAGGTTTGGATGATTATTCATTTTACAAGTTTTTTTGTGTGTACATTCAGTTAAACTAGTTTCATTTACTGTAAAAAATTTATTTTACAAGGGGTTCTAAATGTTCAATATTTGTGTGTATTAAGGTATATGGATATACAGATTCATACTAATGTTCTCCTTGACATGCGTTATGCAATTGATTTGACATGTCTGGAATCAATCAATCAATCAATCTAAATATCTCTTGTAGTTTGCGTTTCATGTTTGACCTCGAGCTCCACGCTCCTCGGTACCAGGGGTATTATTATTATTATTATTATTATTATTATTATTATTATTATTATTATTATAATATTAAATTATTTTAACTTCTGTTAATTTAAGGTCTGTGAATGAAATAGAAAATGGAAAATGCTGTTTGCCCTCGGTACTGGGGTCATGGGGCTTAATAATTCAAAGATAAAGGAAGCACCATGAGTGAAAACTGTCTGAACTACAGTCAAAAAATGGCAGGTTGGCGTTCCTGGATTGCGATTTCTCGGTTTCGGATGGAGGACGGTTGGAAACTGGCGTATTTCGTAAGCCCACCCACACAGACCAATATTTGCGTTTTGACTCCCACCACCCACTGGAACACAAGTTAGGAGTGATCAGGACTCTGTACCACAGAGCAGACAGTGTCCCTACAAACCCAGGAGCCAGGCAGAAAGAGAAATCACACACACGACAGGCCCTGGAGCAGTGTGGTTATCCTGACTGGGCTTTCCTGAAAGCAGACAGGAAACACAGACAGGATTCCATGCAACCTTCAGGTGAAAATGAAGACCCCAAACCCAGACCCAAACCAGTGGTTATTCCGTATGTTGAGGGTGTTTCGGAGAAACTGAGACGTATATTTTCTAAACATGATGTCCCAGTGGCTTTCAAGCCCCAAAACACATTACGGCAAAGGCTGGTTCACCCCAAAGATCCGGTGCCCCGGCACAAACAGAGCAATGTTGTATATGCTGTTAAGTGCCAGGAGGACCGCGACCAGTTATACATTGGGGAAACAAAGCAGCCACTTTTCAAAAGAATGTCCCAACACAGACGAGCTACATCTAATGGCCAGAACTCTGCAGTTTTCACTCATTTACAGGCCAGCGGTCACTCTTTCAGAGATGAGGATGTTCTCGTTCTTGATAGGGAGGAACGTTGGTTTGAGAGAGGAGTAAAAGAAGCCATTTTTGTGAAGAAAGACTGTCCATCATTAAACAGAGGTGGAGGCCTCCGTTTTCAGTTGTCCCCCTCCTACAGTGCTGCTATTGCCAGTATCACTCCACCCCCTGTTAACAATAAGTGTTAATTAGGTGTCAACGATAGCCATGTGATGTGAGTATCAGTCACATGGAGGCAGGGCTTAAAAACTTGAATTTTGCCTGAAACTCTCAGATTGAAGAAGTCTCTTGGAGGAGAGACGAAACGTTTCATTAAAGAAGAACCCGTCCAGAAGACCTATACAACTTTTTTCTTTTTGATTTTTTACCTGGATTACTGAGATGCATCAGGACTGTCTGAACTATAGCCCCTTATACTGTATAGTCAATGGGTCTTTGGATGGATTGACTGGAAATAGTGTTTCTACATAGGACGATAGGAGAATACAACTTAGTAACCAGTGCAACTGGTAGGCCAAATTAAATGGCTTGGTGGGCCAATTTTGGCCAGCAGGCCTCATTTTAGGTACCCCTGGTTTAAACTTGAACAGTATAGACAGCACAAAACCAAAGGTGCACAGACTTTTTCCCTGAGAGGGCCAAAATGAAAATCTAGCCAAGCATTGCAGATCAAATGCAAACCATCAAATTGTGTCTGGGAGCCCATGTTTCAGATAATTTATCATTTACATAGTAAATGGCCTGAACTTGTATAGAGCAGGACTATTCAATAGCGGCCCGTGGGCCACATCCGGCCCGCGAGTGACCAAAATGTGGCCCGCCAATTGGTTCATTCATTTCTTAAGTCTAAACCCCGGGTTTCTACTTTAATTTAAGTTCTTTTAGCTAGACACATGTTTAGTGTCTACATAAACGTCAGAATCGTAGCTAGAAGCTGGTAAAAACCGTTTCTATGAATATCTAAGACAGGTAAAACTACAAGCAGCTGAAGATAAAACTATGAAAGTGAAAATAAAATTGGTTAAAATATTTGGCAGGTCAAATATGTCAAAATAATATTTGTGTTAAATAGGAGGCAGAATGTGTTATTTTTGTTTTTGATATTGTTTCACTATCACTACATTTACTACATAGGGTTCTGTATGTTGTATTCATGATTAAATGCAGCAAAATAAACTCATTCAAAGGTAACAGATCTTTGTAATACTTGGTTTATTTACAAAATGATTTTAATTGCTGGATGTTCGGCCCCTGTGCCGTTGTTCTGCATTAACTGTGGCCCTCGGAGCAGTTTAGTTGAATAGCCCTGGTATGGAGCATTTACATGAAATGCAAATATTTTTTGAGTAAAGTCCTTTAATTTTTTTATGATTAACAGTAGCCAGTGTGGTGGCCCACATTTTGTTTGTTTCACTCGCCCTTTGGAGAAAGTTGGACGTACCCTCAGGCAGCAAAGGCTCATGGGACATTTTATAAGTTCATAAAATATGAGTATTTGTGGTCGAATAAAGTGTGCAAATCTACGTGTGCTTAAATCTAATCTAAACTAAAATGTCTACTGTAATTAGTTGTATTTCATGTTTAATCTGAATATAATTTAAAGACAAAGCAAGCACCGTGTGTGAAGACAGTGATTCTATAGAGCAGAGGTTCTCGAACTGGGGTCCCAGGTCCCCCAGAGGTATGAAAGAGGTATCTTGGGGGTCCTCAAAAAGTGTCACTAAATTGTTAATTTGGTTTTTATTCTTAAAAATTCAAGGGGAGCAATGAACTAATGAAACAAACATAATAAACTAAATAAAAATATATATTCCCGTGGCATTTAGGGGTTGAAATGACAGTAAATTATCTTTTAAAACAGCATGGGGTTTATAAGGGGGTCCCTGGAATTAGGGGTCCTCAGACCCAAAATGTTTGAGAACCCCTGCTAAAGAGGACAACAGGAGATTGCAGCCTATAACCAGAGCAACTGGGCCAAATCAAATGGCTTAGAGGGCAGAACAAAAACCTGCATGTTAACTGAAGTGTCCCTAAAGGTGAGAGTGGTTGTATTGTTTGTGTCCCTGTAATGGACTGAAGACACGTCCACAGTGTCTCCTGCCTCTCTCACACAAACAGCTGGAGATGGAGACCGGCTCCCTGCAACCCAGGAGGGACAAGCAGGCAATGAAAATGGAAAAATGGATGGATTTTTTGGTTGCATTACTCTGTGCAACGTAGACTAAATGTGCAAAATAAACTTCCTCATTGAAACAACAGTGTTTATGTGGAACAATGAGGAAAACCAGCTGTCTTTGCTCTGCAGCTCAGACATGTTTGACAACAGAAACATCCGAAACTGAAACGAGTCGCAGGAAGATAAACTTCACATGAAGTGACATTTTAAAGGCTTTATCGCCTTTTAGGTTCCATGACTCTGACAGATTTCTTTCTATGAAATGTTCCACTGACAGATGATGTCGTACCCCAACCGTCTGAAATGTTCTAATGTTTCACAAACAAAATCATTTTTGGGTGCATTTACAGATTAGACATCAAAATATCTGCATTTTTGGCTTCTTTCACGCAATGTGGCGTTTCATGTTACGGGACGTATTTTTTTTTTTTCCATTGAAAATGTTTTCACATTTGTTTTTCAGAAGAGCCCTCAGAGAGCAGGAAAGGCTCAGTGAAGCTTCCACAGGTTTTATTTATTTTAGCTCCAAACGCTTTTTTTAAGCTTGAATTGAAGGATCTTTTGCATTAATATCTCCACACGAAAAACCCTGTAGAAATATATAAACTCACATATAAGAAGTGCAAGGATGAATCATTTCACATTGATATATGGATTAAATGATTATTTAATCCAATTCCACTGAAGCAAAAGAAAATCCATATCGCCATCATTTGTATGCTACAGTTATGGGCATAAGATATCACATCATATTGATTGTACACAAATCTTATCATGACTGACTTTGTGATAGAGAGATATTGTCATCTAAACAAATTAGTAAAATATATCATAAGATGCTTATTTACACCTCATGAATGAAGTTTTTGCTGCTGACGATTCAAGAATTTCTATAGGCTCCTACTTCCAGTTTTTGCACAGGGACAGTTCGAGGCTTACTTTTTAATCTGTCAGGGAGTGAGAGACACAGGTGTGTGGTTGCTATAGTGGCCCCCAATGAGCTTCTTATCATACATCAACATGTTTGCATGTGGAAATTTGGTTTAATGTTTAAACCCTGAGCTGTGGGGTGTCCCTGCTCACTCACCGGTCGATGCACAGCACCGTGACGATCCCCACCGTGGTGAACTGGTTGCTGACGTCCACCACCACCACCGCCTTACACATGAAGTTCCCGAACACCCACTGGCGGTCCCGGACCAGCTGGTGGATGTTGAAGGGCATGACCAGCAGGAAGAGCGTGTCGGCTATGGCCAGGTTCAGCACGTAGATGTCCGACACCATCTTCTTCTTGCACGCCGCCACCGCGTAGATGACCAGCGCGTTGGCGATGACCCCGACCGTGCACAGGATGCCGTAGATGGAGGGCAGGATGTGCATGAAGGTGGTGATGTCCACGGGGCTGGGGGGCGGCCGCGGGGACGCCTGGCAGGACGGGTCGGTGAGGTTGTGCGTCGCGTTGCAGCCGAGGTCCGAGTCGTTCATGTTCGGCTCTTCCAGAGTGCGCTCCTGGGCGGTTTGGAGAGGAGCGCGCACCGATGCGCACAGACGCGTCCAACAGCAGCAGCCGCGCTCTGCGCTCCAAAGTTAGGCACCAAAGTTACTCTCTTCTTTATTTTTTTATCGCCCTCAGCCTGGATCAGAAGTAGCTCCTGTAGCACAGGTCATAGATAGAAAACTTAAAAAAAGTAAAATAAAAAAGGAGCTGGTGTCGGATTGAGACTGAGCAGAAATGCGCCCTCTGACCACCGGAGTCACATCTGAATGTGCGCAGCGGCTGCTTTCTCCACACTTGTTCCCTCCCYCCAAACTGTGTTTTTCCTTCTCTCTTTTGTGGATTATGTAACAAAAGCTAATGAAATAAAAGCGCTTTAAGTCCTTAAATTAAGTAGGAAAGTAAACAATCATTTTGGTAATTAGAGTCAGATTCATCTGAATGATGACTGAATGTTGTATGAAAAATTAAAACATGTTTTTGTTGCCAGCTAACTGGAAAAGTTAACAAAATAAAGTTGTTGCAATAGATCAGGAGTCTGCAATAGTCACAATTAAATTTAATTTATTGAGAGCGGCAAACTCCTTTTAAAGCTTCAAATAAAAACACAAATTACTCTGTTTTAAATAAAGTCCTCGTTAAAGAGACATAGCCACCCTTTGAGAAAAATTGTTTTAATTAACATTGAATATAACAGAACCTCTTGCAACAAAATGTAAATTTTAGCATAAGCGTTGAGGATGACTCATTGCTGTACAACTGACTGAGTTAAAAAAGTGAATTGGTTAAAGATTAGTTGTGCAAATCAGCTGAAATTAGATGCACTCCAAATGTTGATCAGTTATAAATGTTCATCCAGTGATTAATTTATGAGAGTTTAATATGTCCAGTGGTTCATGAGATGTTTTGCTAACAGACAAACATGATTAACTCTAACAGTTAGGTTTTAAGGCAGGATCTTATGAAACAAGTAGCAGATGGAGGATATGTTGTGAAAGCACCAAATTTCAACTCCAGATTTGTAAAAGACGCTGAATTGTTGCCATTGTTGTGTGTTGTAAGCTTAGTTGGCTGTGGCAGCCATCTTGAACTGGTTTGGCTCCAGAGGTTAAGGGGATGTGAATATCCAGGGAGGATTTCCTGAAAGCTTCTTTCAAATCCCTTCAGTGGTTCATACGCTAGTTTGCTAACAGAAGGAATTTCCTCCGACTGGCAACATTTGAAGCAAAACTCTTACATTATCAGTTAAAGCTCATAATATGTGATGGGAATGACTCTCAGTGACTACCACACAAGGATTTTTCATTTTAAAATTGACTAAATTATAACTATTTTTGTTTTTAAGGTTACTTAGTTGTGGCGCTCATGTTGAATCGACTTCAAAACACGTCAGTTGCAATTTTATATCCAATCATTACTTTCTGCAAGTTTCACCACAGCGAGTAAACTCACACAGATGATTTGGTGATTGTTTAACACCAGATTCCTTCCTGACAACCTGGGTTTGGATCTGCAGTCTGAGGATTACAGGGCCACAGCTCTGATCACAGCGCCAATGCTGCCCCTGGTTCATGAGACGTTTTCACAAAAACCCTGACATTTTCACTTGTTTGGACAAAAAAATAAAGATGAAATATTAGCTTTGGTCCCTTTAAACTAATTTAAACCCTGAAACATACACAACCTTGAATGTCTTTTGTGAAAAATAAATAAGTCTCTCTGTATAAAATAGTAAAGCTCATAATTAGTTTGAACATTAGAAAAAAAGATTTAAATTACTGGAGAGTTGGAATTTAGTTATTCTCTTTATAGCAAAAGAAAAAAATATTTAACTTAAGTTCTAATTAAGTTTTAATTAAAGGAAAGACTTGTTTTTTTTACTCTGAATGAGTTGCCACAGTTTCACCAAAGTAATRTTTCAAAAGCTCATAATAATGTAACATGATTATAGATGATTTTTTTCTCCTCAGTGGCTTGCTTCATTGTCAGTCCCTCAGGATAAAAAAGGAAAAACAAATTAATAGCAGTATTAAAAGAGAAAATAACTTGAGTAACTCATTAAATGTAGTAAAATACATTGTTACACAGAACACTGTTGCTCTAATTCATTTATAGTGAGTTCATTAATGCCAATTGCTGAAAAATAAAGGGGTGACAATCTTTTTGCCTGTGTTTGTGTGTTTTTTTAACGGCCTGTTAAGGCCCTTTCACAATGTTGTATAAAGTACCTCAAAGTGATGAGTAAAAGTACAACTTTATTGTCATAAAATTGCTTTGGTAAAAGTTAAAGTCTCCTCTAAGAATATTACTTGAGTAAAAGTCTTAAAGTATCAGATTTTTTGCACTTAAGTAGCAAAAGTAAATTTCTAACATAAAATATACTTAAGTATTAAAAGTAAAAGTATTGAGCGTTTAGATTTTCCAAAATACATTTATTGGGAGGTGACCTCTCAAAAAAAACTTTTTTTTTCTAAAAATGTGCAGCTGTGATGGATTGTGTACAAATTAATACAATATCAGAATGGTATACATTTATACTTCTCATCCAACTACAATCAAATTCACTCTTTCCTGGATGCACAATTTTTTAGGATATCATTTTTAACAATAACAAGCTGAAACAAAATAGGAGAAATGACTTTCTACTTCTTACCTTTTTGAAAATATAAGGAGTAGAAAGTACAGATAAATGTGTAAAAATGTAAGGAGTAAAAGTAAAAAGTAGGCTGAAAATAACTACTCAATTAAAGTACAAATAAGCAAAAGTATTTGTGCTAAGTTACTTTACAACTCTGGTCACACTATAATGTTTTAGACAACATATGCCGACTTATGAAAATTTTGTTTAGACTATTTTACTGGCTGTACGTTTCATTTAATTGTTAGCATTAATGCATGTATAGGTCAAAAACACTGAACTGTAATTTCCCCTTGGGATCAATAAAGTATTATCAATCAATCAATCTAATCAATCAATCAATCAATCAATCAATCAAAAACCTTCTAGTAGATTTTTTAGTCCATCTTCAGCTTAGACAGCTTTAGTGTTCCACAACTTTTCATAAGTTGGTATAAACTGTCTAAAATGGAATAGTGTGACAGGGTGTTTGGCAAAATAAATGGCTCAGAAGGTGGTGAAGAGGGAGCTGAGCTGTAAGGCAAAGTGCTCTGTTTGCCAATCAGTCCACGTTCCTAATCTCACCCATGTTAACAAACTTTGGGTAGTGACCATAAGAACAAGATCACACATAAGAGTGAATGAAAGGACTTTTCTCAGCAGTGTAGCTGGACTCTCTCTTAGAGATAGAGTGAGACTCACATTTATCTAGGAGAGACTCAGGAGAGCTGCTCCTCCACATGGAGAGGAGCCAGTTGAGGTGGTTCAGCWGSTAAGGAAGCCTCCTGGACGTCTCCCTAGGGAGGTGCTTCAGGCATGTCTGACAGGAAGAGGAGACTCAGAGGAAGACCCAGAACACTCTGGAGAGACTAAGTCTCCTAATTGGCCTGGGAACACTACACGYTTATTGTAATTAGTTCTATTTAACATGTTATTTTCTTTTTGYCTCTTTTCCAGAAGAAGGTGCACCTGGACCAGTTCTTCTGTGTTTCTCTGTGTCTCTTTCCTGTCCTCCAACGAGCCGGTCGAGGCAGAYGGCCGCCTGCCCTTAGCCTGGTTCTGCTGGAGGTTTCTTCCTGATTAGCAGGGAGTTTTTCCTCTCCACTGTTTACTCAGGATGGGAGACTGTGATGAAGTGATTCAACACAATCTGCTGGTTTCTTCTTATGTACAGTGCCCTGAGAMAACATATGTCGTGACTTGGCACTATATACAGCGGGTAAAATAAGAATTGAACACATCAACATTTTTCTCAGTAAATATATTACTAGAGGTGCTAATGACAAGAAATTTTCACCAGATGTCG